GTGGCAGGGAGAGAAGGGCAGCCCAGTCCCCGGTGAGTATGGAGGGCCATACTCTCCCCTTGCCCCATGGGCAGCCTGAAGAGGAGAGTGAAGGAGGTCTCTGCAAGAGGTTTTCGGCTTCATCCAACCCCCCTCAGCCCACGTGGCTCATCCCAGTGGGGGTTGGGCAGGGGCCCAGTGACCAGAACCTTACCGGAGGTGGCGAAAGCCATGAGCGTGGTGGGGGCCGGGGCGACTGCTCTGAGCGTCTGGAAGAGACAGGGCGGCGAGCTCAACCTCCCATCAGAAAGGCCAGCCGCGCTGCCCCGAGTCTGTGCACAGGGCAGGCCGTTACAGAGGTGGCAAAGTGGCAGAGTGTGTGCACGGTGAGGGGGGCGGCTTCCGTCCAGTGCACTCGACACTGTGTGTGCGTGTGCGTGTGCGTGCGTCCGTGTGTGCTTCCTAGCGATCAGGTGCTGGAGGTACACCCTTAGCCCAATCGAGGTTGGTGAGGTTTGGCCCCACCGAGCCAGGCATGGGCCTTGGGGCCCTGCAGTGCGCCTCCCAGGACTGGAGAGGGGAAGGTAGAGAGAGGGACAATCATAGCGGTGGACAGAACCAGCTTAGGACCCACCTAGGCAGCCCGCGAGACCCAAGGCAAATATATAGACCCCTTTACTGTGACAGAGGCGAAGAGAAAGGCCACGAGAGAGCTGGGGACTGGGTGGGAAGAGCCGACGTGCCCTGCCAGGGCCCCTTGCAGCCCCTTACCTGGCCAGGCTCCTGGGATCCTGGGAAGCTGGGCAGTGGAGGGCTCGAAGGTGTCTCAGGAGCTCAGATCTGCTCTCCATCGCCAGCCCCGCCCCAACCCAGCCTCTGGGAGTGACCTGCCCAGGAGGGGACTTCCTCCCCCCTCCCCCTCACGCCTCCCCTGGCCTCCTGCCTGTGGGACCGGGAAGTAGTCTCCTGGCCTCCTCTGCTTCCTTTCCTGCCCCCAGCCCCTCCCAGGTCTGTCCCCAGGACTCCTTTCCCCCCTACTCCACTCCTGCGAGTCCTGAGCCCACCTCGGCTGGTCCCCAGCTTGGCCCGGCTGTGACCGCTGGACTGGCTGCCCTCTCCCCTTCCCCGCCCCTGCCTGCCTCCACCTCCACAGGGCCCACCTTACTAGAATGTTTTGTCTGGCACGGCTCTGGGAAGTCGCTTACTTCAGCCTGTCCATTTTACGAGTGGAGAAACTGAGACCAGAGATGGGCGGGACTAGCTGAGGATCACACAACTTTTGGGTGGCGAAACTTGGCTCTTCTTTCCCAAGCCAGGCACCTTTTGTCCCTCTTTGGGCCCGGGTGAGGATGAGGTGAGAGCTCATGGAGTCCCCACTGACACCGAGGGAAGGCCCCTCCCCCTCCTCAATTAGGGCCAGCCGGAGATGAGGGACAGGAAGGGAGGGGGTGGGGCGGAATCAAGCTAGGGCTTAATGCGCCCAGTGAGATCCAGTTTCCTCCCCAAGGCCCTGTGGGAGCCAGAGACACTCCCACCCTTTTCCTCCGCCCCCACCTGCGGCTACCTGTCCTAAGAGGAGGGGGCTTCATAGCTCCTGGGCTCGAGCACATTCCAGCTCTCCCCCTCCCTCGCCTCCACTTTCTCTCTCTCTCACACTCACATGCACGGCCACACACACCCTCTCATATGTGAGACAGCCGTACGCCCACAAAGGCACACACACTCGACCTAGACACAGACACACACCGATGTTCCTTCGCCCCGTGTGGAGGGCCTGAGAGAGGAGCTTCCCTGCCAGGGGCGCCAGGGGCGTCAGGGCCGAGCCCCCCCTCCCACTTCCTCTTCCCTCTTCAGGCTCCAGGACCCCTCCAAGCTTTGACCCATCCCAGGCACCCTCTTTCTACCCCTCCCCTGCCCTTGCCACAAACCCCGGCCTTCTTCAGCCTAGGCCGGCCCAGCCCGGCCCAGTCCGGCCGAAGACAGTGGCCTGCACGCAGCCAAGGACCAGGCTCTGGGCCGAGATCAGCCCATTTTTCCTATTTGTTCACCTTCTCCGTTGCCCTGCAAGGCTGGAGACCGAAACGGCCCCGCGCTGACCAGACCCTAGTACGCCCAAGGCCAAGGTCTTCTTTTCTTGGCCAGGGAGACTGGCGGTGCCCCAGTGCTTCCCAGGACAGCAGGAGATGTGGGGTCAGATGCCTTACACACTCACCACAGCCTCACCCTGCACGCTGCCCACAGCATGTGACAACACACGGCACACACAAAACTTGCTGCACAAGCCACACACATACATCCTACCCCTCACATTACATATGTGCCAGACCGGAGTGGCCTCTATAGCAGTGGTCCCCGAGACTTGTGCTCCTCTGCTTTGCCACTCCCCAGCTGCGTGACCTTGGACGGGGTACGCCCAGCTCTCTGTGCCTCAGCTTCCCCCTCTGTAAACTGGGAATCCAACGACTGAAGGATGCCCCATGGTGACAGGACGGATGAAGACCTGGAATCAGCAGCCGATGAGCCTCCGTAAGTGTCTGTTTTCAGTACATGTAAGGCAGCACTAGAAGCTAGGGAGGGAAGCTCCTGGGACTGGTCGGGAAGCGGAGCCAGCTTTGAGGGGCAAAGGGCCAATGGTCTCCTTACGGGGTTTCTCTGCTTGGACCGGAGCGAGGCCCTGCAGGGCTGGATCCCAGCAGAGAGCTGGTGCAGGGCAGGGCCCCTGAGCACTGAGGCCAGGCCTGAGGCCATCTCTGTCCTGCACACTCCTTGTTTCCTGTTGTTGAGCTCAGGGAAAAGTCTTGGGGAAGGCACCCCACCCCCGTGGTTTTTTCTGGGCTCCAAGAAGCAAGGGGAGGGGTTTGTGTCCACACCAAGTCCAGGATGTAAAGGGAAGCTGCACGCAGAACTCCCTCTGGCCAGCCAGCAGTGCTGAGGACTTCTGAGGAGCTACGAAGAGCGCGTGCCAGAGAGTCTGGTTCTCCAGCCGGTACACGTGCAGGTGCTGCAGGCGCCCAGCTGAGTCCACTGCCTGCAGCAAGAAGCTGGTCAGAGGCGAGAGGCCCCAGGCAGGCCCCTGCGCCAGCCAGCCCACAGCAGACAAGAAAGATGGGGCTTGGCAGCAGTTCATGGGAAGAAAGGCTGACCAGATTATTCACTGTCGGGACCATGTGGCTCAGCAGAGACGGCACTGGGCCGCCCAGAAGTCCCTGTCCTCTGAGCAACGTGAACTGAAAGCAGGGCACCTACCTGGAGGGAGGCGCCCTGCCCCCACTCCTCGGGGTGGGCAGAGAGCTGGGCCTGCCTCCTGGAGACAGGCAGTCGGCAGGCCGGGGCCCTGGAGAGGGGAGAGAAGGCGGGGTCTCTGAGAAGTGTTTGAGGAGGTGGCCTAACAGGCCCAGGCCCACCCCAGGGAGCTCTTTCTGGAAAGCTGGAGAAGGAGGGCCTGGCCATGTGGCTGGTCAGTTACCCTCAGCGGGCCTCAGGCCTGGGGCAGGACTGGGCAGACACCTTCCCCATCCCCCCAGTACCCCCAATGCAGCCCCCTCTGCCCTGCCTTCCACCAGCTCCCTCTAAGGGTGCGTTTATAGAAACAGTTCATGTGTGCTCAAGGTGTGGGCCCGGGTCTTCACTAGTCCAACGTCTGAGCGGAAGAGGACGGAAGGCCCCAGGGGGCCCCCGGAGGCGAGGGGCAGGGAGTGGGCACTGACTATCGCAGGTGCCAGTTCCTGGGGCAGGGGATCACATCTGGCAGGACCCCGGATCTGCCTGTCCTGCTTTCTCACTGACTCTGTAATTAGAACCCTTTGCTCAACAAACAGCAAGTCCTGCAGGCCCCGCGCTGTGCGCGTGGAAGCGAAAGGATTGGGGCCTTGCCAGGAGGAGCGCAGGGTCCCGCTCCCAGAGGAGTGGGGGCGGGGAGGCCGGAAGAAGCTCCCAGGAGAGAAATGGCGGACACGATTAATGCCAACAGGCAGTAGCGGTGGAAAGGAAAGGCATTTCTCGGGCCCTGGATAGACCCTTGGAAGACAGTCACAGAGATGAAAGAGAAAGAGAAGCCAGCCAAGGACATGGAGAAGGAGTGATGAAAAATCTGGGAGAAAAAACCAGGAGAGCGTGGGCTCACAAGGCTGGGAGGAGAGACAGGTTCCCTAAGCGAAGGAAAGACACACGCAAAGCTGCTGAGAGGCCATGCCCAGGGAAGGAGAGAGGCGCCCCAGCTGCCTCCCTCCTGACTGGGTGCGCATCACAGATGGCGGATCCTGCGTGGCAATGGGAAGCATGAATGAGCTCACCCCAACTGAAATGCCACATAAGGAGCAGAATGAGTTGAACCTGATGTTATTCAAATGCCTAGGCGAGGCTCAGATGGATGGGGTAAAAGAGCGTGGGGTCAAAGGACGAGATCAAAGGGGGCAAAAAGCATGCGCACGCCTGTGTGTGCGCGCGCGTGCAAGTGTGTATTGGGACATGCGTGGGCCGATGATGACAGGAAAACAGGTGTCCACTCATCCGAGGTCCAAATTAAAGTGAATAGTAATTCTGGAGTTAGACAAAGCCTGTTTGCAATTTGTGGGAGCGGGGACAGTGGTACCTGGTGGATTAGAAGCCCCGTAGGCTGAGAGGGGCAGGGTCCCCAGGAGGCTCTGGGGGCACCCCTCTTCTGGGCCAAGGAGCTGGGGGGTAGAAGGCAGGTAAGCAGTTGAGGTCTGTGCCCCCAGATGGCCACAAGCGAAGTCAGCTCAGCAGGAGGCGCCTCTTCTTTGGTCGGAATTATACAGGCATGTGGCTTAAAGGGGCAGATCATCTGAGGCTTAGGCTCGTAATGAAAAGCAGCAGCCGCTCCTCCCCATTCTGCCTTCCCAGAGGCAACCGGTTTCAGCTCTCCGGGTAATTACCTCTGTCTGGCTCTATAACGAACCCCCAGCTTTCTTTAACCGTCGCCACTATTCTGACTGCCATGGCACAGGCAGTGATTGCTTTCCTTGTCTTCAATGACTTTTAAAAATCAGCTTTATTGATATGATTAGCATACAATAAAATTCACAAATTGTCGGATGTCATTTGACACATGGATACAGTCGTGCGACCGCCACTGTAATCGCGATATAGAACATTCGCATCACTCCAGAAAGTTCCCTCATGGCCCTTTGCGATCTTCCTCCACCTGGAGCCTGGCAACCATCATCGTTCTATCACTTTAGATTTGTCTTTTCTAGAATTTTATAAAAGTAGGATGACAGAGTGTGCAGCATTTTGCGTCTGGTTTCTTCCACCCAGCAGAATGCCTTTGAGTTCCTCTCTATTGTGTGTGTCAGGAGTTTGTTCCTTTTCATGCCAAGTGGTGTTCTATTGTGTGCATGGACCACAGATCATTTACCTGAGTACCAGTTGATGGACAGACATGTGGGTTGTTTCTAGTTTAGGACTGTTATGAAGAAGGTTACTCTGAATACTTGAGTACAAGCCTTTCTGTGTACGTGTTTTAATTTCTCTAGATAAATCCTTAGAAGTAGAACTACTGGGTCATACAAGTGTATGTTTCAGTTGATAAGATACTGGCAAATTGTTTTCCACACTTGTCATATGACATGATAGTTCCTTATGACTGATGATGGTGAGAATCTTTACATATACTTATTTGCCATTTGTCGATATTTGTTAGTGACGTATCTAGGCAAATCTTTGGTCAATTTTTAGAAGTTTTCTCAAGTATTGAGTGTAAGAGTTGTTTTTTTTTTTTTAATATGTTTTGGTTACAAATCCTTTTACAGACATGTTTTGCAAATATTTTTTCCCAGTTTGTGGCTTGCTTTCTTATTTTACTAAGAGTATCTTTTAAAAACCAAACATTTGAAATTTTTCTAAAGTCTAATTTTATGTTTTCTTTCACGATTTGTATTTTTTGTGTCCTATCTAACAAATCTTTGCCTAATCCAATGTCACACATATTCTCTTATAACTTCTTCTAGAAGGTTTATATGTCTAGCTCTTATATTTACGTCTGACACTCATTTCAAGTTAAATTTTGTGCATGGTACGAAGTAAAGATCTAGGTTCATTCTTTTGCATGTGAATAACCAGTTATTCTGGCATCATTTCTTCAAAAGACTATCCTTTCCTCACCGAATTACCTCGGTACCTTTGCCACAAAATTGATCGTATGTGTGTGCATCTATTTCTGGACTCTCAATTCTGTCCCGCCGATCTACATCCTATCCTTATACCAATGCTACACTGTCTGGATGACTACAGATTTATAGTAAGTCTTGAATTCAGATAGCATAAGTTCTTCGATTTTGTTCTTTCTCCAAATCATTTTGGCTAGTCTAGGTAATTTGCATTTCCATATAAATTTTAAAATCGGCTTGCCAGTTTCTACAAAAGAAGCCTGGATTTTAATTGCCATTTCATTGGCGCTATAGATAAATGTGCGGAGAATTGACATCTTAACCATAATGGGTATTTCAGCCCGTGAATACATTATTTTTCTCCGTTTATTTAAGTTTCTTTAATTTCTATCAACAATATTTTGTAGTTTTTGATGTACGGGTTTTGCACGTTATTAAGTTATCCTTAAATATTTCAGATTTTTGGTGCTGTTGTAAATGGTACTTTTAAATGTCAATTTCTGATTGTCTGTTGCTAGTATATAAAAACACTATTGGTTTTTGCATACTGACTGTCCTGCAACCTTGTTAAACTCACTTATTCTACTGGTTTTAGTAGATTTCATAAGATTTTTTTTTTTTTGCATATACGATCATGTCATCTCTGAATAAAGACACTTTTGTCTACGGCCATGCCACCCTGAACACTCCCAGTCTCATCTGATCTCGAAAGTTAAGCAGGGCCGGGCCTAGTTAGTACTTGGATGGGAGACCACTTAGGAAGACCAGGTGCTGTAGGCGTTTAAATAAAAGAAGACACTTTTACCTTTTCCTTTCTAAGTTATATGCCTTCTATTCCTTTTTCCTGCCTTACTGCGCTAGCTAGGACCTCCAGTGCAACAATGAGTAAAAGTGATAACATACCTTTGCCTTATTCCTGATCATAAAGGAAAGGCAGTCACTCTATCTTCATTAAATATGACGTTAACTGTGGGTTTTTCATAGACTCCCTTTATCAGGCTGAAGAAGTTTCCCTCTATTCCTAGATCACTGAAAGCTTTTATCCTAAGTGGATGTTCAATTTTGTCCAACGTTTTTCCTGCATCTATTGAAATGATCATATGGTTTTCTTTGTTGTTGTCTCTCTGTTACTATGGTTAATAATGCTGAATGATTTTCAAATGTCATAGCAAACTGGTTTTCTGGAGGGGAACACTATTTGGCCATGATGTGTCATCTTTTTATACATTGCTGGATTTGATTTGCTGGCATTTTGGTTAGTATTTTTAATCATGTATAGGCATGAGGGATATTGCTCTGTAGCTTCCTCTTCATGTGATGTCTTTGGTTTTGGTATGAGGGTAATGCTAACCTTATAAAATGAATTGAGAAGTGTTCCCTCCTCTTCTATTTTCTGGAAGAGTTTGTGTAGAATTGGTGTTATTTCTTTCATAATGTTTGGTAGAATTCTCCAGTGAAGCCAAAAATGCCTGGAGTTTTCTTTGTGGTAAGGTTTTTAGCTACGAACTCAACTCTGTCAATAGATTATTCAGGTTATCTATTTTTTCCTAATGAACTTTGATAGTTTGTATCTTTCATGGAATTTATCCATTTCATCAAATATATTGGCATCAGTTCTTCATAATATTCCCTTATTTTCATTTTAATATTTGTAAGATCTGTAGTGATGTCCTCTCTTTCATTTTGGTTATTGGTAATTTCTATCTTCTGTCCATTTGTTCTGATCAGACTGGCTAGAGGTTTATCAATTTCATTAACCTTTTCAAGTCAGCTTTTGGTTTCGGTTTTTGTTTGTTTTCTATTCCATCGATTTCTGCTCTTTATTTTTATTATTTTCTTTTTTCTTTTTATCTTGCATTTACTTTGCTCTTCTTTTTCTAGTTTCTTAAAGTGGGAACTTAAATAATTGATTTGGGACCCCGCTCCTTTTCTAATAAAAGAAGTTAATGTTATCTATTTTCCTCAAATCACCTGTTCAGTTGAGTTTCCAAACTTTTATATTTTATGTCTTTAGTTTTATTCAATTAAATATAGTTTCTAATTTGACATATGATTTCTCCTTTGATCCATGGGTTATTTAGAAGTACATTTTTTTCATTTCCAAATATTTGGAAATTTCTTTGCTATCATCCTGTTACTGATTTCTAATTCAACATCGCTCTGGTCAGAAATCCTACTTTGTGTGATATGTATCCTTTGTAATGTATTGAGACTTTTTCTACTGCCCCGAATTTTATCTATGTGGGTGAATGTTACATCTGCACTGTGTATTCTCTTGTTGCTTGGTATACTATTCTGAAAATATCAATTAGGTCACTTTGGTTGATACTGTTCAAATCTTCTATATTCTTACTGATTTCTTGCCTATTTGTTTTATCAGTTACCGAGAAAGGGGTGTTAAAGTCTCCAACTGTGTTTGGAGATTGGTCTATTTCTAGAAACCTTTGGTGCTGTCGATTTTTGTTTCACGTATTTGGGAGCTTTGTTATCGAGTACCTACCTTTTTAAAATGATTATTTCTTCTTGATTCGTTGTCCTTTGTCCATCGCGAAATGTCCCTCTTTATCTCTGGTAACACTCTTTGTCTTGAATTCTACTCTATCTGTTATTAATATAGCCATACCAGCTTTCTTATGCTCAGTGTTTGCATGATGTATCTTTTTTCATCCTTTTACTTGCAACTTGTCTGCGTCTTTATGCTTAAAGTGTGCTTCTTGTAAATAACATATAGCTATTTTATGTAGCCTGACAGTCTCTGCCTTTTAACTGGTGTGTGTGGCAGATTGTGTTTTTCAAAGGTAGCCCCAACAATATCTCCCATCCCACATGCTCTTTTGGAACCTTGCCATTTTCCCATCAAGAGGTAGAATTTAACTCCCCCACCCCTCCTATAATCTGGGCTGGCTTGTGACTTGCTTTGATTCAATGTGATACGATAAAGTGATGCCACTTGATATCCGAGGCTGGGTGGGTCAGAAAAAGCAATGCTGCTTCTGCCTCGTTAGCGGGGATACTTACTCTTCCTGCCTTTAGCCACCACCTAACCAGTCCAACTTCTCTGAGGCTGCCATGCTATGAAGAAGCCAAAACTAGCGCTCATGGAGAAACCACATGGAAGGCTCTGAGATGGCATAAAGGGGGAGAGATGCCCAGCCAGCTCTAAGATGCTCCAGCTCCACACTGTTCCAGCTTCAGCCACTGTCTGGCAGAAATCACATGAAACACTGTCAGTAAGAACTGCCCGGTTGAGCCTTTCCCAGATTGTTATTTTTAAATCGAAGAATATATATTAACCGTTTTAATTGTACAATTCAGTGGCATCGATTACATTCCTAATACTGGGTATCACCCCATTTTCTTTTTCTAAAATGTTTTTTTATCATCATAAATAGAAGCTCTGTACCCGTTAAGCAATAATCCTCCATTCTCCCCTCTCCTCAGTCTCTAGTAATTTCTAATCTACTCTCTGTCTCTGTGAATTTGCCTATTCTAGAGCGTTCATATAAATGGCATCATGCGATATTTGTCCTTTTGTGTCTGCTTTCTTTCACTCAGCCTATTGTTTTCTAGGTTCCTCCATGTTGTCGTATATATCCAGATTTTATTCCCCTTTACGGATGAATAATATTTTATCGTATGGCTAGAGCACTTTTGTTCACGCATGCATCTACCGATGGACATCCGGGTCGTTCCCGCCTTTTGGCTATTGTAAATAATGCTGTGATGAATATTGGTGTACGAGCATCTGTTTGAGTTCTCGTTTTCAATGTTTTTGAAGATATACCTAGGAGTGAAATTGCTGGGTTATACGGTAACCCCGCTTTGCTTTCTGAGGAATGCCTTTCCCATAGACTTGACTCACAGAAACATGAGAAATAAAACATTATTGAAGTTATTTTAAAACGCTACATTTTGGAGCAATTTGTTACGCAACAGGAATAACTGGAATAGAGTTTTAGTCCATTTATAATTAATGTAATTATCTTTGGATTTCGGTCTAAGAACTCAGTGTGACTTCTATTTGTTCCATCCATTTTTCGTTCTTTTTCTCCTTTTCTGCCTTTTTTTGGGGGGGGGGCAAATTGAATTTTTTTTTAGTATTTCGTCTTCTTTATTGACTTTTTAGATATGTCTTTTTGTGTTACTTTAAAAAAATTGTTGCTCTGGAGCAGCGGTCCCCAACCTTTGTGGCACCAGGGACTCGTGCTCTTATGAGAATCTAGTGCCTGATGATCTGAGGCGGAGCTGAGGCGGTGATGCTGGCGCTGGGGAGCG